TTGAGACGCTAGAAAGAGTACAGAGAAGAGCAACAAAGATGATTAGGGGACTGGAGGCTAAAACATATAAGGAAAGGCTGCTGGAATTGGGTATGTCTAGTTTAACGAAGGACGAGGGGGGACATGATAGCAGTGTTCCAGTATCTCAGGGGCTGCCACAAAGAAGAGGGAGTCAAGCTATTTTCCAAAGCGCCTGAAGGCAGGACAAGAAGCAAAGGATGGAAACTAATCAAGGAGAGAAGCAATCTAGAACTAAGGAGAAACTTCCTGACAGTGAGAACAATTAACCAATGGAACAACCTGCCTCCAGAAACGGTGAATGCTCCAACACTGGAAGTTTTTAAGAAGAGACAGGACAGCCATTTGTCTGAAATGGTATAGGGTTTCCTGCCTGAGCAGGGGGTTGGACTAGATGACCTCCAAGGTCCCTTCCAACTTTACTATTATTATTATCCTAAGTTGATGGGAGGAGGTGAAGAGCCGAACCAGGCCAGCCTTTGCCTCTTCAGGAAAAATGTCTGTCCCGAGTCTGTGCTGGAAGTATGCACACCTATTCACAGGTGCACCTGGGAAAGGAATGAAGAGAAAGCTGAAAGCATGGTTGACTTTATTGTTCATGGTTGAAATCCAAGGATACTGACCCTGGAACTGACCGTTTTTTGGCAGTGCCAAGGGAGGGTCGTGGAAATGCTGGACGTGGAAGGGGAAAAGCTGAGAAGGAAGCGCCTGTGGGAAGAGAGGGGACGAATCCTGTATGAAAAGTGGGCAGGCAAATGACAGGAGGCAGAGGAGGCTGCTGGGAAAAGAGGGAGGTTACGGTAGCACCCAGGGGAAGCATAAAAAAAAAGACCGCGGGATGAGGAAAAGGCTGTTGATAAGCAAAAATGCATGTAAAGGAGGTTTGTTGCAAAAATGAAGAAAAGATTGTACAATGTTCATAGAGTTAATAATAATAATAATGTTGGAAGGGACCTTGGAGGTCATCTAGTCCAACCACCTGCTCAGGCAGGAAACCCTACACCATTTCGGACAAATGGCTGTCCAGTTTCTTCTTAAAAACTTCCAGTGTTTTTTAGCGGGTTGTTTTAACAAATTTTTAGGGGGTA